CCGCGGGGAAGGGGTGCTTAGCGAGCCCATTACAGAGCAGCGGAGAGAGAGCCCCAGGGCTGTCCAGAAACAAAGGACCACCCAAATTAGCTGTAGAGACGGGTTCTGCTGAAACAGAAGCACTGAGTCCCGATACAGGGGTGTCCTTAGGTGCCAAAGGAGCCCAGGTGGCGTTGTGGTTGCGCATTGGACTGCTAACTGCAAGTTCAGCAGTTTGAATCCTCCAGCCACTCTGAGAGAGAAAGAGGAGGCGTTTGACCCCCGTAAAGAGTGACAGTCTCGGAAACCCACGGGGGCATTCTACCCTGTCCTCGAGTCTGCATCGACCTGGTGGCAAGGAGTTTGAGTTTGGGGGTGCCAAGGGGAGGGGGCTTGTTCCAGGTGATGGGCACAGAGCCGGTGTTGGGGTGTGGGGGGCGTGATCTGAGTCAGTCCTGCTGGAGATTTGTCTGGTCCTGGTAGTGTGGGTGGGGAGGCGGGGGAGCAGATGGTGCCGAGGACTTAAGCAGTCCAGGTGAGAGGCCCGTGTGCTTCCTGATCTTCCCTCATGAGGGTCCCTGGGCATGGGATGGGCCCACAAAACAGCAACTGGAGTGGCGTGCTGAGGTGCAGGACAACCCCGGTGGCGCACGGGGTTACGGGCAGTTACACACAGCTGGGCTCACTGCAAGGTCAGCAGTTCAAGACTGCCAACTCCTCCTCGGGAGAAAGGCGAGGGTGTCTGCTCCCACCAAGAGTGACACTCTGGGAAACCCACGGGGGTCTGGGGGGCGGCTCTATTCGGTCCTGTAGGGTGGCTGCACGTCAGAGTCCCCTCGCCAGCATGAGGCTGGTTGGGTTTTCGAGATGTGGCCGGGAAGTTCTAAAGTGACTTGGGGACAGCGTGAGCCTTCGCCTGGGGGAGAAAGTGAAGCTCTGCGGAAAGTCAAAAAGCAGCCCAAACAAGGCCAGCAAACCAGACCCAGCAGTAGGTCTCAATGTCCCCATGAAGGGACAAGGCACTAGTGACCCTTTGCCCGGGACAGACAAAAGGGCACAGCACTGGTACAAGCAGCATGTAAACCGCCAAACCCAGTACTCCGAGGCCCAGAGCATTCAAACAGCCCGCCCTGCTGGTGCCTGCCTTGCTGGTACCCACCCTACTGGTGCCCGCCCTGCTGGTGCCCGCCCTGCTGGTGCCCACCCTGCAGCTCAGGCAACACCCCACCAGGGACTCTCATGGAGAGGCTGAGCCCAGCTAAGGGACAACAAGGGAAGGTGGTGACAACATGAAGCCCTAGGGGACATGGAGGTGCCAGAGACCTTCCCAGCTGGTGATGGGCCGGGCTCCTTGTGGCCCAGTTCCTAGGAGGGTCATTTAAGTACCCACAGGACCCTGGCTTCACCAGGGTCACAGGAGTGACATCATCTCCATCCTGGGCATCTCCCGGGTACACGAGCCCACATTGCAGACCTTGGCTCTCACCTCGCAGCCCCGGCAGCTCTTCCTTCTAATCAGAGCCTGGGCACACAGAGGACCCCCAGAGAGGGGCAAGCAAGGTCTCCTTGTGCTACACCTCTGTCTCGGCGTCCCTCTGAAGCTCACGATGCCATCCCTCATGATGCCGCCACCCCTGGTAGGCAGCACCTGCCTGGCAGCCCGGCTCGGAGCCTGGGGTTACTCCAGAGCAGAATGACGGGGTACAGGACGGTGCACACGTAGAGCACCACCTGCCACACCCCGTACCGCAGGTCCTGAAAGGAGAAGACAACTGCGGAGCTCAGCACCAGCGACAGGAAGTGGGTGGTAAAGAGGATGGTGAAAGAGATGAGGGTCAGCAGAGCCCTGAAGTGAGCCTGGACACGGGTGTCCTGGCTCCCCGAGATGATCAGGAGGACCTGCCGAGCATGTCTGCCGAGAGACGTGATGAGCAGAGCCATGCCCAGGAGGAACGTGGCCGTGGGCACGGTCCAAATAGCCAGCTTCAGCGGGAAGAAGTAGAAGTTCTCGTAGAACCTCCTCAGCTCACTGTAGGTATCATTCCACCGGGGCCGGTCCCTCTGTAGGTAGTTCTGATACAGTCGCCGGTTGCCGATGAAGAAGAGGATGCTGCTGAAACAGGAGAGGCCCAGGGAGCTGAGCAGCATCCACGGCACGCACCTGGACACTTTCCCCTTGAGCCACAGGAAGGCTGGGTGTGCAAAGGTGGTGATTTTCACGCAGTAGAAGATGCTGAGCCAGGTGGAGAGCCACAGGGTGACGGAGTTCAGGAAGTCCCACAGGAAGGAGAATACCTGCATTGCAGGGTTGTAGGGGAAAGCCTGGGGGCAGAGGAAGAGATAAACGCACTTCCCGATGACCACCCACTGCAGGCAGAAGCGTGATGCCCCAAGGCTGGCCAGCAACGTGTCACAGGGGGACAGCTTCCTCCGCAGCAGCCACTCAGTGGCCAGAGAGACGATGATGAAGCCGTTGCCGACCACGGACCCCAGGCACAAGAGCAGCAGGACGCCGGCCAGCGCGGAGGCCATCCTCTCCATGCTACTGGCCTCCGTCTCTCTGGGTGGTCCCAGGACTGCCAGGAGGTGCCTACAGAGCTGCTTCTGCAAGATGCTAGCCTTCTCCAGAAAACTGCCTCCACGGAGTGTGTGCTTAGCCTTCCTGCTGCCCACGTGCAGACTTGGGGACCCAGGCCCTCAGAACTGGGGGAGCTTCTTTTCTCAAGGTAGATGCAAATGCTTTCCAGGCTTGGCTGGCAGCGGTGGCCCAGCTGCTGCGAATTTGCCTGCACGTCCTCTGCCTTCCTTTGCCAGTGTCAACAGAGCGGCGGGTGCCATATCCGGAGGCGTGCTGCCCGCAGCTGACACCTAAGACGTACACCTGTGGGTGCTCGGGGGTGAGGTTCATAGGCAGGCCCTGTCGGTGCAGGACTCCCCCCACGGGGGAGAGGGAACTGTCACACCCCAAGCATTGTTCTAGTCCTCCCCGTTGGGCTCGGTTCTCCCTGCACCCCAGGGCAAAGGTGCTGGGAGGGTGTGCGTGGACAGATGAGAAAACGGACGTCCTTAGGTGAGCTCTGGTCTGATGTCCTGTGCTGCCCATCAGCACCCCGGACCACATGGTGTGGTCATTGTTGGCTGCCGTCCTGGTGGGCCCTGTGAGGGACAGGCGAGTGCTACTCCCCGGGGTTTTCTCTTGTGAGCATTCTGTTGTGTTTTGCATAAAAGGTTACACCAGAAACCATCTCTCCCATCCAGCAGAGAAGACACGGATGGTTCAGGGACATTGACTGCTGACCAGTCCCTGTAATGCGTCCTCTCTCCCCATAGCCACCCTACCTCATGTCCATCCCGTGTCCATATCCCAGCCCCTCATTGCCCCCTGAACTGTGTGTTTCAGCAACACTGCCCACTTGGTCTGGGATGGTGCTTTTCTAAGGTGCCATCCAGTCAGCTCCGACCCATAGCGACCCCGTGCTCAACAGAACAAGACACCACCGGTCCTGCAGCGTCCTCACAAGCATGCTTGGGTTTGAGCCCATCGTTGCAGCCACAGTGTCCATCCACCTCGTTGAGGATCTTCCTCTTTCTCACCGTCCTTCTACTTGACCAAGTAGGAGGTCTTTCATTCTCCAGGGACTGGTCTCTCCTGACCACATGTCCAAAGGCCATGTGACAAAGTCTCACCACCTTTGCCTCTAAGGAGCCTTTGGACACTGAACAAGGAAGACCGGAGAAGAAGCGATGCGCTTGAAGGACGGTGCAGGTGAAGACTACCGGAAGCTCCCTTGGAAGATGTTCGGCCCCAGTGCCCCCTGTGATTAGCCACCAGGCTCTTCTTCCTTCTGACCCTCTGCTGATCATCCCATGATTGTTGTTATTGGTCGTCGAGTCCTCCCACTCACGGAGACCCGGGCCAAATGGAAGGACATGCCGCTGGACCCTGCCCCATCCACACGATCCCTTGAGGACCAGAGCACTGTGGCCCACCCGGGTTCTCACAGGCTAATTTTCAGAAGTAGAGTCGATCAGCTTTCCTTGCTGGTCCAGCTGAGTCCGGAAGCTCTGCCGAAACTGTCCAGCACCAGACCCACATGAAGGCTGGGAGGGCAGACGGTGATGTGGCCGGGAATCAAACCTGGGCTTCCCACCCGCAAGGAGAGAATTCTAGTGCTAACCCATCACTACACCACCCTCTTAGCCCCGTGTAGCTCCAGTTGAGCTCCCGGCCCGTCCACGAGATCCTGGATCGATGACCTGGTGAGCTAAAGGACACGTGGGGTTGCTGTGAATATACTTTTCAGCTCTGGCCAGCAGAAAACCGAGAAGGAAACCAAACGGAATCCTGTGCCCTTTCCAGCTGTATCTGCCCTGCTCGCCATGTGTCCACCTAAAGGACCCTGGAGGCCACGGTCCAGGTAGCAGCTCCCTGCCCAGGGTGTTCACATCCAGGGAGTATGTGGAAGACAGGACTGAAAACTCCACCTGTTTCTCTCTTGCTTCCTCTATGATGTGTGCTTGACCAGGTAGGTGACATATTCATACCTGCATGCCATTCAAAATCAAGGTCTACGTGGTGGGGGGGGGGGGCATGTGATCATTCTGGGGTGGGTGGAATCCACTCTAGCTAACTGTGAAGACCAGTAGCCCAAAAGGGGTTGGGAAAACACTGCTCAGGGTTCAGAGGGCTTCAAATGTTGGAAATAGTCAAAAGAGAGCCCCAGCAGTGGGTTCGGTTGTGGGAGGTGCTGCCAAGCAGATCGCCATTGTTCTGGGAAATAGTGCAACAACCTGGGCTACTGAGGCCTCAGGAAAGCAATGTCAGGGGAGGAGAAAGACAAGGAGCCTCCCCCCAGAAGAGCAGCAACAAGACCCGGAAAGAGGAGCTTCTCCCAGTGCTGGTGAGGAGCCCCGGCCAAGAACCAGGACTTCCTAGGGAAACAAGGGGCTTAGGGAAGACGCGACCACGGCCAGAGACTTTGGGGCCCAGGTGGAGTGTCCCACCTGGAGCACACACAGCATCCTCTCCGTTAATGTAACTTGGTTTTCCTTTCCCTTGTTGCAGCCAGACCAGGGGATTCTTTCAGGGAGTGAGCGTCTCGTGGGGACTGTGTGTGGATGTCCGGCCACAGAGGGCTGGGTGGAGGCAGTGACAGCCAGCCCACCGGATAACCATCTCCTCTCTCCAGTCTGCTCAAATTTGGGCATCAGAGAGCTAGCTCAATGTCTTAGGACAAGGACAAGCTGGAGCCCAGACTCCTATGTTCCCAAATATCCTCAGAGCATTCTGAATTGTGGCAGGCCCCCTGGGCTTTTCTCACAAGTTCTCAATCGCTTGATGGTCTTGGCCTCCTTAACCTCCCAGGCCTTGGCTCCTGAGAGCCCCCCAAACTCTGGTGATTCCATCTTGAGTAGAGAGACAACCCAATGTCTTGCCTGCCTTTCAAGCCCTGCTTTTTCAGCCTCGTCTGCTGAATTCCTTTATATGAATCCTGGCAGTGCTGGCAGGTTCCCAAAGAGTCTTGGAAACCCACAGGAGCAGTTCTATCCTGTCCAATAGGGTCGCTGTGAGTAGGCATCAGCTTGCTAGCAGTAAGTGTGAGATTATTGCTGTTGCAATATTTGAGTAGTCAGACTTGTCTAATTACTCCCCAAATCTCCTCCCATTTCCATCATTTTTACTGATGTGAAACCCCTTCTCTTATATCACCCACAGAAGACCAGACTGTACGGCTTGGTTGTCCTGCCCTGGTGGGGCTGCTGCTGCTACTGGACTCTTCTGAGAATCCCTGGAAGGGGGTGGGGCTGGGGGGCTTGGATGGTGCAACACGCAGGGAACCATGGCCAGAGCCACTGATTTCTGATCCCCCTGAGAGAGGACGGGCTTACGGTTTTCCCACACGAAGGCCCTGCCACCCTCACGATTACACACGTCAGCACCAGCCACGGCGATGGAAACAGGCACGGACTTGGCTTCTCTGAGCAAGAGAAACCCGGAGACGAGAAAGAAGGCAATGTGATGCCAAACACGAGGGGGGAAACAAGCCCACCCATGAAGGACGAGAAAAGGCTCACCTAGAACACATGCCCAGCTTGAAATGCGAGCGAGTGTTCACTGGCTGCCAACAGAACAGACAAACCTGTCTTGGTGGATGGACAGCCAGGATGCACCTTGAAGGCAAAGATGGCCCAGACCTCGTCTCCTGTACCCTGGGCCTATTGTCAGGAGAGACCAGTCCCTGGAGAAGGACACCGTGCCTGGGAAGGTAGAGGGGCGGTGAAACAGAGCGACCTCCGTAATACGGACTGACACGCGGCAGCAACAATGGGCTCCCGGGGAAGGACAGCGTGTGCGGACGGGGCGGGGCAGCACGCGGTTCATGCTGAGTTGTAATCACCCACCCTACACGCCACACCACTCTGCAGCAGCTCCTGGGGACGGCCGAGGGCCCGGTGCTACAGGCAGACTTCAAGTTCACCGCGGTGGACCAGGCCTCTCACAGACTCAGCGTGACCAGAGAAATCAGGTGCCTCGGAATCCGTTTCCTCTCCTGGAAACCCCCAGGGTCAGAGGAGCCCTGGTTGGTAGGGCTTTCTTCCCCTTCACACATACGTGCGCTATCAGGGGACCAGATGTTAACATGCGTGAAGCGGGACAAAAGCGGGACACCATTGGTAAAACTCATATCCTGACGAAATAGCCACATGGCAGCCGGAAACCGTATACCCTAGCTGGTCATGCATTCTTTCCAAAAATCTGGACTTTTTAAAAATGCCGTGGGACACAGGGAAAATTGTTAAAAAATCAGGACTGTCCCACCAAAAGCGGGATGTCTGGTCACCTTAGTGCGCTACCGTGTCAGGTTGGATTGAAAAGGCAGCGGAAATAGTGCCTGCTATTTTCCAGATTGCTATTGGCTGCCCTGAAGGACAGCACAAAGGGCAGCGTTTGACTGGGGGAACCATCGATTCTTTTTCTGTTCAAATTGGGGCTTAAAAAACAGACCTTTCATATTTGTAATCCTGTAAGCGAATGCTTACCATAGGAAAAAGGTGGAGCCCACTGAATCTACTCCCTGTCTTACAACAAGCACTCTTCTTTCCAGTGTTTCAGGGGGAATCGGGTGAAGGTTCACAGAGCCGGTCAGTTTTCCAGCCAGCAGGTCGCACACGCTGTGGTTCCTGCCCCTGTTTGCCATTCCCCACATGGAAATATCTCTGATCCACTCCTTCCTGCCCATGTCCCGTCGAGCCTCCGGTGTCTGGTTTTTCTGGCAGTGGGTCCCCGGGTCTGTCTGGCACCACCCCAGGACTCCAAGGTGGCATATCAACCCCCAAACCCAACACGCTGCCATTGAGTCGCCTCGAGGCTGACTCCC